ATCCACTGGGTAGTACTAGTAATTACGATTTGAGTGAGTGGAGTTTATTTGGCGTGTGATAACGCAGGCGGGGAAAATTCACTTTAAGGCTAAACCCAGAGTGATTGAAAAATGTTTGGCACAGTTTTCTGGGAAAACGTTGGAAGTACTTTCTAGGTTTTCTGATGATAGAAAGAGCACGCAAGGAGAAATTGAATAGGTTGAAATTGCACGTAGAATGCCTACAAAATGACAGAGCGTCGGTTTTGCGTCTGCCGCACCTGATCTGTATCACCTTCGCAGCATGGCTTTTTGAAGTCCCGCTGGTGTTACTTGTCAAATTGACTTCCTTAACCACCTAAACGAAGCAAGTGAGTAAGGTCTTCATTGCATTGCCATCTTCCTTGACATGCAAAATGTGTTTGACAGAGTTCCACACAAAAGGCTCTTATATGAATTACATAGGTACGGTGTGACAAATTCGCTTCACTCTAGGCTCCAATCATACCCAGTAGGATGATCGTAATTTGTGGATATAAATGGTACCATCTCTTCACCTCGTCTGGTCACCAGTGGAGTGGTACAGGAGAGTGTTTCAGGTCCGTTACTCTTCCTACTGCGCATAAATGACCTTGGATCTGTTATACAATTTGGCAAGTCTTATTTGTTCCCTGATGATCTAAAAGTTGCTTGCACGTTCCCAAGATCTCAGCATACCGCTGAACATAACATTATCTAAAAGCGACTTGAAAGCCATTGAGAGATGGGGTGACATATTGCAGATGACTTTTGCAACATCCAAATGTAATATTCTGGCGCATGCATACTAAGTAGAAGCAGAATTATTCAGGCTTCATGACGAAGACATTCCCAGCAGCCAGTCTGTCTGCGACTTAATTTTGAGATACTCTCATTCCTTAAACTTTAGCGAACATACAAATCATATCATAAAATACGCTGGGCAATCGTTCGGGCTCATACGCTACTTACTAACCTTGAAAGAAACCAGACTAATTACTTTCAAAATCAGTATTAGACATTTGCTTGCTTATTGTTGTGTTACGTTCAGCAACCCGCGGTAGTGTAATTTGCGAGTCACGCAGCGTATATTTGGTTATCGAACTACTCTTTCCTGTAGAGATAGATGTAAGTAGCTGAATCTTGAACCTATGTGGTCATGAAGAATGCATTTAAATCTATGCTTCCTCCACAAACTTGTGTAGTGGAAACCCTATGTCGGAACCTACCAATTGCACTTTCAGGAACGTATCAGTTATGAATTGAGAGTTAGTGGATGTATAGTCTCTATCTAGATTCAGAACCAGCCTATGGAGAAATTTCTACTCAGCTATGGCTCCATATGGAATAACCTGCCAAAAGAGATTAGATGTATTGAATATTTTTGGATTTTCAAAAAAATGATAAAGATTTATCTGTCGACTGACAGAGTGAAATGCGCTTTAAGAATTCAACTTGATGATGAAGAGCTATTTGAAGAAGGGCCGGATCATGGATGATGCAGGAGAACATAGACTGGAAACATGTTCAACAAGTCCACGAGCGTCAAACTTGCTCATCTAGCTTGAGCTGTTACAGTCCCATTTACATGTTATTCTCTAACGCAACCTCTTATGCGGTTCGAATCCACTGAAAGTTAATTCCTACCAACTGTCTTCTGATCTAAAACCGAGAGCAAAATAATTTACTGATATGGAGCCAAGGACTATCTTCGTAATCCCCCCTCAAATTTACTAATTCGTAGTATTTGTTCTGCGAGTCTCTTCGCCACATTTGTTCTATAATGCTAACCGTTTCCCCCTCTTTTTCGGAGTTAGCAGCTCAGTAGCACATACCGGATTTCAGTGATTGGCGATATGGATTCCCTACTGCGCAAATACCTGCTACTAATAGTGACTCCGGAAACTAGTTGTAGTACTTTTTGCTTATGGATAATTCGTGCAGTTATCTGTCTTCGGCTGCCACGCCGCACAATTTGAACGTATGATTTGTCGACCCATTTTGTACTCTTGTAAAACTTGCTACTTCCTTATTTTTAGCGTTATCTTTCTTATTCAATTTTCCTATCTTATATTCTTCCTTATTTCGTCGTCAACGCCTGGGTTGGTCTTCTGAGGCGACGGATTGTAGCTTCCAAACTATAAAAATTATACTTATGCAAGGCGCATTGTCACCTACCGAATGACGCATAAAAAGATGCTATAATTGAATGATCCGCATGATGAAACGGGCTCAGGCTTAATCGCCCATAATGTATGCATAAAAGCAGCCCTAAAATGAACACAACATGTTAAACTTGTGGTGGCTTATATGCTACTATACCACACCGACACACGGCCAGGGAGAACATGGAATTGTTTGCGAAGTCTTTCGATGTAATACCGTGCATGGAAGTAGGTCCCATGGGAACGGTTCCACGGATGGCCGTATTGCAGTACCTGAACATTTGTTTAAATCTGTTTTTCTTGTCGTTCCCAGCTTTTCAATTTCTAAAACCTTGTACCCGCCAATTACTTGAAAATCCGTGTTGGATCCATTGCGTAAAGCGTAAACAACTGATTGTTTTGCTCGATCTTGATGTGCACATTGATCAGACCACCTACTTAGGCTGTGCCTCGCACTGCCGAGGAATATACCATTTATTTAACCATTGGTGGTTGCGTGACAGCGAAGCGTCCGTACGATGTGCTGGCGCACTGCATCATCTCATTTTCACACCTACTTTAACTCCAGTTCCACAATATACTAGTGGCAAGATGTCTAGATCAATGACTATCTCAACTTATGTGGAACTTATCCCCCTAAGGTCGTCACAACCGTTACACTTGCATCCCATATTCTACTTCCTATTCGGTTATCGTGTAGGCTCTCCGTGTGCCACATGATCACCAATCGATGGGTCGGCTACTGCTTCACCCTTGCCAACGGATCATATTGCTTCTGCTGATAAGTAATAATACGGAATCAGATTCCGCTCTTCATTGTCAGTTAGCTCTGCTGTTGCACTTGATACTCTGACTGGTGGATGTTTCCCTTGCAGTCGTGGCGGGTGACGGTCGGAAAAGCCTACGGATTCTATTTTTGCTATTAACATTCTCTTGAGCCCTCTGGGTTCACTGTTTCATTTTTTCACCGACTTCGCTCAAGCTTAAACTTGGATTTTCTTCTGCTCTCGTTTTACTAAACAGTAGCGTTGCTTCTTTATGTGCCACTGCAGTCCCACCTACCTTTGGATTATTCTGTTTGTGATTTGCTGACGACTGCTAGTGCCACAAGTGGGAGCCCTTGTGCCACGCATGGCAGTAGATATTCTATCCTACTTACAATCAAGGTCTTCATTGGACCTAGATGGAATGTTGTTGAACCGGACTTCCTGTGTGTTGAAAGAGCGTCTTGCTCGCTAAACATACAGTCTTCTACTTATCTTCATACTTGTTTTCCAATAACGTTCGGAATCGATGTATTTGTTGTCATTGGAACAGCGATATGATTATCTTGAGTTCGACGCTGTCCATATAACGGAAGGTGTCAAGTTGCACATATACGCATACTGTGCCTGAAGACTGGGGCTTAGAAGCAACCGATGTTCGCGCATCTCCTATAAATTTTCGCTGTTGTCCATTTGCTCTGTACGAGACCCGATAATGCTCCCTGTCTAACTTATTGGTTTGCTTGAACAGCTTATTCCCTTCTGTTCACCGCAAACAGAAACAAATGCGTAGTGGCATACCTATTTCATGACTGCATCCATACTTCTACCGATTGCAGCATATGTAGCAGGCATGGACGAATGGCGTCCATCGCTGTTTCGTACTTTAGCTCTAGTTGGCTGTCAGACGGCTTTACGTGGTAAATAAACCCTCCAGCGAAAATTTCAATCTTGGGGCTGCGCACGAGGCCTACTCCATATTTTGCCTGTGAGAGAAGCTGGGCCCTGTTAGTTTGATTTTCTCTGGTTATCGGGAGCTTTAGTTTAAAAACATAGCAGATGCCGAACCATGCCGTTTCCAAAGCAGTCTGTTGATCCGTCCTTATGGCACAAGCGTTGAACAGCCCCAGAGAAACCGAGTACAGTGACCTGTTAAGGGATTTTTGAGAATAATAGTTATCGGATGCTATTGTCGCACCTGTTTGGATGGCGGGGCCTCAGTGGAAACCTAGCCTCCGTCACTTACGACGGCGTTTGTTAGGTCACGGATAGTAATGGGGCTCAAGAAAGACGGAAAAGAACGAGACGAGATATAGACAGTAACCTTTACGCTTGTCCAACTTGCTGTATACAGGAGATAAGATGAGCCATTTAAATCTAAACATCTGCTGATCCAGGAGGAGGCAGATGTTCGAAGAAAGTATCGCCGTTTAATGTGAGTTTGGATGCGGCGTGTGCACCCACTCCCAGACTTAAGTGCGCTTTCGGTTTCAAAAACTGACCACAATGCAGCAACTTCACATTTGCCACCACTGGTTGACAAATCTGATGAGGTCAGCTTTTAACGCAGCTTAGTGTATTGGAAGTAATGTAAACCGTCTTCCCATGTTGAGGTCCGGTCTCGTCGCGACGATAGTGGCTCATCGAGCGTTCTGTTATACTCTGCGCCAGCTGATTTAACCTTTGACTCGTGGGTCTTTATCACATGACAGAATTCTGATTTCGGAACTCCTCTGTCTCTGCACCTTCCTATGAGGAGGATTTTGATGCTGAGTTATCCTCTCTTTTGGCTGTTCACCTGTATATAGTGTAATCAACTGTTTGTGACCTTATGTTGTCAAGATATCGGCGCCTTGATCTTGCGTACTTGCGTAGAGCGTCTAGTTGTTACACAGGCTTTTTATATTTCTCCATTATTTAGGTCATTATAGTTGTACGGCAGCGAAGCATCTGTTCAAATGACTGATGTACTGCTATTGTTAATAATGTAGATAACCATTAAGGCCCTTATAAAGCGCCATTAAGCGTAGCACAATGGGCTGTGCGGCACACAAACCACTACGTGACGTTAGAGCCCAGTTTCATTACGATGGCGATGTTAGCATGTCCCGGTTTGTTGGACCAAAAATATCAAAACAAGTGCAGTGGGATATGGCAAGGATTTGTTGATGAAAATGTGATGTATGTCAATTATGAATGCTGACTGTTATTGCCTCTTTTCTCTTCGGGGGGTGGTTCAGCTTGTGGTTTCTTTTTGATGATCGACACATCCGTATTGCTCCTGCCTCTGCGTATGAAATTGGTTGGAGCAGACGTCACATTTGATTGGCCTGACTCAAAGGCAGTGTCTGAGTTATACATTCTAATGGCAGGGTCGCCAACCAGCAAGCTTTGGTTCGAAACTGCATTCCGCTCAGAACAAATGGAATCCTCGATAACTCGGACGCCAAAGAGAATCATTGTTGTTCCGAACAAAAGGTAAACTGCCGAGAAAGATACAAGTAGTTCAATGACACGTCAGCATTTTTGAGTGACTGTCATCTCCGCGATCACTTATGGCTAGTATGCCGTATAGTAAACCACTTTTCTGATAATACACTTCACGTTTTTGTGTATCTAAATACTTATTCATCCTGTTTTATATTCTGACGTATCACATTACCATAGCAATGTCACTTTCTCTTTTATCATTGAACTGTTTCTCCTTAGTTTAAGGTGATCCTTCATTGTGTGTTAAAATCCCCTTAGCACATAATTCACAACTATCACACCTCGTCTACCAGCATCTCATCCAGTCTACGACTGCGTCATTCTCCAGAACCTTAACTGTTTCGAATCATCTGGTTATTCAAGAAAGAAACTCACTTGTTGTCAAAACGTTAAAGATGCGCTTCAGGTACAGCACAGTAGGAGTTCTAGACTCTTCAATTGTTTCATATCCACTGGGTACCAGATCACCTAGCCCAACTAAGGTCATTGAAATGACGCAGAAGTAGATCGCATCCAAGAAGGACCACCCCTTTTCCGTATGATGAAAAATGATGGAGGGGAGAATTATGGTGGCGATCAAGATGAGGATGAAGATCAAACACGAATGCAGTAATCGGATCCTGAGCACGCATTTCTGTCTTCTCTCCAGACGAGCGGAACATGTGGAGGCACCGGTTGTTTGTCCGCAGTGGAATTTGGTCAGCTGAAAGTACACAAGCAACTAGACACATTCGTGTCAACTGAAATACTTTGCTCTTTGAGTTCCTCTGAGATAGCCACCTAGAAAAGACCTGTTCGTCAGTAGGGTGCCTGGGCACTCATCTAGTGCTTGGTAAATAATCCGCCTTTCTAATGGATCATGCATCGTCCTGTTCACATGGGCGATTCAATGTCCAAAGCGTTTCTGTATACACATACAATCGCTGGTAACTACTCCATTGCACAGTCAGTCAACTATTCTTAAATGTTTCACATTGGAAGTATTGGCGAATTCGCTTAAACATCGACCAGGGTGAATATTGAATACTCTATACTGTACTATGGAGCAAGTATAAATGAATTCTGTACAACTCCTTCGAAATATGCTGAAAAACATTATGTGAATTGTCATCGTGAATATCGTTATCGTTGTCATGTAACATTTAAAATACGACTCACGATATTGCGGGGCTCACAAATGTGAGATGTCATCGTAAGTGTGCAATCGTTCTCTTAATGGATTAATGGTAAAATATGACTCCAACAACGCTTTGAACTGCTGCACAGATGTGGCCTCCATCACATGTTCAGGTGAGATATACTTCATCACCGTTGTCATTGTGATGGCGTTTGCATTGGCGCCTTGCTGTGCTCTGATAAAAGCTCAGTGCTGGGCCCTTTATGACCCCTACCTCCGGAGCCCCAGCGACTTTGTGTGGCTCTGAGGTCGTTGTAGCGGATACTACTCATGCATTCGCTTTCCGACTTTGTCACGCTCATTCCAGGATGAGATGCCGACAGGTTGTTCAGTTTCATTTACCTTTTTGGGGTTCAGCTAAGCACTCTACAAATCGTTCGAAGTTTTAGCAACAGTTGTAGAACGGATTCACAATGGGTTCTTATCCCCAATGGCCTTAGCTGTCCTCCTACAATTCATCTTATTGTGTTTGTACAGCTTAAGGTGAGTTGGCGCACCGCATTCGCATTGGAAACAGGCCCTTTGATTTGTTTGTACTATCGGCCAGCTTCTTGGTGAATCGAGTGCTCCCCTTGCCACTGGATTTTTGCCAAATTTTAGCCGGCCCAAATCTGCCACAGGCATGGACCAAAGCAACCAGGTTAATATTCTAACTAACCTGATTGGCTTCACGTGACCTATTCTAAGCGCTGAAATAGGCACTTGTTGTTTGTACAACTGTTTCCCAAGTGGTGTGTATAAAAATGGGCGTTCTGTATGGCGGAGTCTATGTGGCACGGTGTATGCATACATGTTGTACCACTGGAAACAAAGGTGGTCTTTCATCCTCACTCGAAAACAATTTTGCACAGTTGTATCGGGAGCCGTGGCTCTACTTTTCTGCACTCCTGTATTCCCCATGGCCATCCGTTAACCCAGCTGCTTTTACTTAAACTTTAGTATTTTCATATTCGTACTGACGTCGCACTTACCAAAAACGTTACCAGTTCCAAACAGAAGGTCTCCGGAGCTGATATTCTCGAATTTGTTGTTGTGACGCTGTGGTTGCGAATTTCAAGAAGCTCTAGATCGCTTGCCGCTGGAATCCGTGGAGTTGGATAGACAGAAACTTCTTGATTCTCCCAACTTGAACGTGTCTCCGAGCTGTATTGTCTGGAAATGGTTACGGGGCGGCCATTCGGGAGACAGCTGTGGTTATAATTCAGTGTGTGAGGACATGAAATGCTTACCCAAGTGTACTTCGATCTAAGTTAGTAGGCGTTTGAATAGCACGCAATTTTTCAGCTAATATAGTCGAACAGCAATTATCCTTTTCTTCGATATATCTGACTCTGGGAGCTGAGAACGTTTGTGTTATTATTCGCAGGTTTGGACACGAAATACTTCTGGCTATGTTTATTCCAGAAAGTATGGTATACGTTCCTTCACTCTTTGTGGGGCTTTTGCAGCGAAAACGAGACAAAGCATCGCCGTTTCTCCGGTGCATTTGATTATCACCCAGCGGCGCACGAAATTCGCGATCCTTCACGATACTGTTTGATGTACTGGTTGTACAGCGATTCACCGTCACAAAAGTACTGTTGACAAAAACAATAGATGATAGACTCAGATATCTAAATGGAAAAATCGGCGGGCTTCACATCGTTAGGAAAAGCTACTTCTTTTAAATCAGTAACGCAGTTAATGAATGTCAGGTGTTGTCCGCTTGCAAAAATTCACCACACCTCCGGTATCCTACTTGCTTTCACTCGTACAAGAACAATAGCAGAACTAAGACTCTAACCTGCAAATAGGGACTACTAACTGTCACCGGACCATGAGCGACGTTATGGACTTTATGTTATCGTTGGCGGCACAAGTCAGCTCATTCATACTGCTCCTTATCTTGGTCCGAGGGCATTCTCGCTATCGTGCGGCGCAGGTTGACAATCATTACCTGTTAAAAAGATTTCGCTTGTTACGAATGTGTACTAAAACATACATAGGAATGATATATTTCACTGACGGGAAACTCTCCCCGTTGTTAGAGGTTGGTGGTAGCTCCATCCAGTTGCTTCTGTGCAAAGGTCTCCAGACATCCCCCGCTGCATGGTTAACTGCTAAACCGCTTGTGCATCACAAACACTCTTTCTGAAAGTTGAAAGCAATGCACCAGTTGCATTCTGTCAACGTAATCTTCATCCGTCTTTTCAAAGTGTTCGACAACGTGAACTAAGAGGTCCTTCACAATCTCAGAGCGCGCAGTGTTGTTGCCTTGGCACACCGGCTGTCCCACGCGTTTCTGTTTGGACGAGGGTAAAGGGCACATGTCGGCAGCTATCTTAACGACTAGCATCCATTGAATAGCGGAATGCTCCAAGATAGTGCAGGAGCGCATTTTGTATCTTGTCTATATCAATGATCATCGGTCACCATGTGCCCTGTTTGCGGATGACCCAAAAATGTAGGGAATGATTAATACACCCCTTGAATGCGGCCTGCCTCAGAAAAGCCTTGACCAGTTCCACATACGTCCCGCAGAAACTCCAGTCAAATTAGCCCTCATGTGTCTGACCGAGGTGACGACAGCTGATCCTACACCTTCGATTATCAGCCGCTTTATCCCACGCCTTCCGTGATGTATCTAGTCGCGCTTTCGCACTGCGGTTGCCGGTGAGAGTCCGAGAATCCCTGACCAACGCAACTGAGATGGAGTGCAGAGTACCCCAAGGATTGGTACTAGGGTCTCGTCCATTCTTGACTATCATAAACGATCTAGCAAGGTCATTTGCCTCCGATTTCCTATTTTTCGCAGCTGATATTAACATGTGGCGAGGGACCAGACGACTAGTAAAGGTTACAGCCTGATTTGACACGATTTCGAACAGGTCAGTTCAGAATACCCTGCCATTCAGTGTTGAAAAATATCTATTTTTCCTACTAAGCTTGGGGCACACAGATTGCAGACCAGCTCCCAAGAACATGACCTTGGTGTGCTCGTACAGAGAGATCTCGACTGTTCAAAACAGTCTGAGGCAGCTATGAAAAAGGTATCCAGCACATTCCACTGCTGCCTACGGCATCCGGGAGATTTGACCCATCAGCTTTCCCAATGATGCACAATTCCTACATTCACACGTTGAATACGCCATCCAAGCTTGGCAGTCTTGATGAAAACGCGACAGAGGTACTAGAGACACCACAATGCAAATATTTTGTGACCCCAACCATATATGCCGCGGATTTCTGCGACTTAGTCACAACATAAACCTCAGAGAGAACTGCTTGAAACTGAGTGAACAATACAGTCGTTCAGAATGTCGATGGATTACTTTTCTCTTCGAATTTGCCAACTTTGGAACTCAGTCGTATCCTCCCCTACTTTAGATATTCAAAAGCCTTTGGATGCTGCTCTTACCTCCCATCAGTACGTTTCCTAGGCCATGCTGCTATGGAATATCTTTATCGTGCCTTCCGACTGTATTTATGTCACAAGGACCTAAGGAAGCGGTACACAATACGTCAACTATCACTGCGCGTCATGTACTTTCGCATGCATTCGATTCTTATTTTACACCCTCATTAGTCAGCAACGCATTTACTCGAGAAACGCATAAACAGGTGGCTCGTATATTTTTTGATTGTTCAGTTTTCATCTCAACTATCCTACGGGACTTGTTAAGCACCTGCTTTTTTACCTGCAGTAAACCATTATTCATTGCAATTTGTAGCCTGCGGACAACGCGAACAGGCTATACTCAAATGAGCTGCACATGCCTTTGGTATTCAGAGGCAATTTCTGCAATTGACCAGAGGAGGGTGTCATTCGGCTCTTCTCTTCCTTCGCAAGACCAGTGCTAGAGTACGGATCGCATGCTTACTATCCGATCATTTGGAGCGAAGTGCAGAGGTTCAAAGGGGTCAAACATGTCCCTGTCAGGCCTATCTCTAGTTCACGGCGTTTATCGTACGAAGGCCAGTACTAAAGACTAAGATTATACACCTTATCCTGTTGTCGGATCCTAGTCGTTTTCGGCATGGCTTACCAGATCTTACATCTCGATGACTTACCCATGCTGCAGCACATGCGGAGACCGGTACAAGCTTGTAGTGCGTGTTCTGGAACTAGTCGCCCACCCTCTGTGCTTCGACTGCTGGATGTTTGGAATACTGTACTAGAACACATATCCAAGGTAAAATCGGTGCAGTAGCTCAAGGTACCCCTGAACACACATTTCGCGAGCCTTCAAATCCTGCAACGTTTGCCGGCTGACTGTAATCTCACGCATTCTTGACTTCTTTATTACTGTTATTCACACATTTTTACAATTTCGCATGGGAATTTGAGGAAAGATTTGTGTATTGACAGTTCTGCATATTTTATTTCCTTTTGCTTCGCTAAACTAGTATTCGATATTCAGTATATACTTAAATCGGCCAGACTAACAGAGCGTTGAATTACAGGATAAGTGAACTTGTAACTAAAGGTGTTTTGTTTACATTCACCTGAATGGTCGTATAGTACACATGCTCTCCTGTCACAGATTTTCACATCTTCCTTTTCAACTAGCGCAGTCACCATACACAAATTCGAATTGGATTAACTCCCCATGTTCAATAGGCATTTTTTACGGAAATATTTCCCGCGGAACGTGATTTGTGCTAACTAAGTTGTTTTAGCGCGCTTCGTGGTTCTCTCCAGACACTCCACTCTGTTCTTTTTAAAAGTTTTCACTGCTGTAACACAGAAGTCGATCAAGGATTTCCCGTGCTGTCTGGTGTTACTACAGTTACCTCCATAAGACTATTACTAACAAACCTACGAATCAATCTGCGCTTTCAATTGCATTTGCCCATCACCGGCACTTTTCGCTGTCATCCACCCACTACAAGCCAATCCCAACGGCTTTGTCCTATGAGAAGCAGTGTGGGTGAGTAATCTAGCCAAACCCCGTGTACGTGTGTCCTCGTCAAGCCACACACACCTACCGTAATCGATATCGAGAGTGCGACTGGAACAAAGAACGCGAGTGTCACTCGCTCTGTGCCTCACGTGACCAGACAAGGGAAGCGTTCACTTACAACAACGGCCCTGATTGGAATTGATTCTACCTAACCTCAAATGTGGGGATCAGAATTGTGAACGCCTAGTCAGGAGAGGCGTTATTTGTGATTTGCGACCTTCCGTTCCACCAGCGTTGTGCTGGTTTAAGTCAACTACTATGTAAGAGACAAATCAACCAGACTGACGCGCTCTGGCTTTGCCAAACATACAGAGAAATCCCAATGGTCAAATGTATAATATCACTTTTGAAAAAGTGTGGAAAACTGACTGAAACAGTCTAACAGCTTGCAAGCTTCAGGGTTTTGCCGTTAGCATCTTGTTCTACAACAAACCCCTCAGAGCTCTGTCCCTAAGTCGAAGGCTAAACTCAAACCTGCTGACTGTCCAACGGCATCTGCTCCACCTACTCCGAGAATTACTAACCCTCTAAGTAGGCAATCCACATCCGGCGTCACTACCAGTACCTCATCCCTAGATCCCATATCTCAAGAGTTGGTCGAAACACCGACAGTCCAGAGCCGGGTAATATACGCATCGATCGCCTCGGTAAGAACGCCTTAAGAGACATCCGTACGTCCATTTTCTGGACCAAGCGCGAGTGACGCTACGCCATTTTCACAACGTTCGTTAGTGCCCGCAAAACAATCTAAGTTACCAGCCACAACACACAAACCGACATTCGCTAATCAGAACCACAGTGCGTCACGGTTGTGTGCAGTAACGTCACTGAGTCCAGATCTGGCACAATAAATAGCATATTGGTAGATGATCGCAACCAGCGAAATTGCATCTGCGATGATATTGGTATTCGGTTGAGCCAACTGGGCTACGACGCGTAACGCGTCGCCCGAACTCAGTGCACTACGGCGAACCCCGATTTCTTCTAGTACACTTGAACTTAACTGAGGAGAAAAAGATAGTCCTACCCTCAGCAGTTCATCATCGCAGCTCATCCAGCAATGTACGCATACTACCAAATATTCCTTGGAAAAGACGGTCAAATGGAAGAGAAAATCATGGCGGCTCTTCTACGAACGAAAGCAAGGAAACAGTATTTGTTCATGGTGTTCCTGAACTAGTGAGCTTTCTTGATCACGAAGCGCAGAAACATGACCGAGAGCAGTGGTGCTACATCCGCGAAGCACTTTCTCTGGTCGACCTTATCGCCCCATCACAAACGAGAATTCCTTCATCTCCAAGCTACAAGGGCTGAGGTCCAAAAATATTGAAAGTCGTGCTGCACTCCGAAATAATGACAGAAGTCCTATTGAATAGCTGGTTGAAGCGTCGCTCCAGCTTACCTACAAAGGTTGGTCCAAAGACAGCAGGGGCACGACCACTATATGTCAGCAATTCATTGGAACATGCAACTACAGTAAAATATTTGCCTTCACAATTCTGCAAACTTGTAGACAATATTACACCCGGGACACCTGGCTGGATAGGGCTATACATGAGAGAACATCTCGATCGCGGATGCTCCGTGCTGCCATGCAGCCTGCCTGAAATTCAAGAACCAATGACCCACGCATA